GTTTTACCAAGAACAAAAAGTTGTGTGTTTAATGCTCTGACAAGTACCTTCTATCCAAGAAGGAGTGAATTCCCTCTCTGATCCTTCCAAAGATCAATGACCTGAGGCCTGTATTTTCTTTTCTAGTTACTCAGATATCACTGCTTTAGAAACTGACCTATACTTGCTGCACAGTGGGGAAAAAGTTGTGAAGTTCTGCAGGGTAGCTGTTCTCAGTTTAACAGAACTGAGCATTCACTTCTTCCTTGCAAGTTAACAGACTTGAATTTAGTGTTGTAATTGTTTTAAGTGATTTTAGTAGTTCTGTTCTTCTCTACTAGTCCTGCAGGTAATCTTATGTTTTCGGAACTTGGCATCCTCTTTAAATTACGTTCTGTCTCTAATTTGCATTCATTGTTCAGATTTGAATCTGTCCCAGCTTTGATCAGGAAATTGAGCTAGATGACTGCCCAGAAGCACAGAGAACCATGTGATACTCCTTCAGAAATTTGAGAGACATGCAGGGAGGTCATAACATCAGTGCAGACACAGTGGCTGTGTTACGTTAATAAGCAGAATATGCCAAAGTACATGTAACAGCAAGACTAATATTTGTATACCTAACCTCTTCTCCCACTCTCTCCAGTTGCTCCAAAACCGGTGGCCTTGTCCATGCTGTCTACTGAGAATGGTCTGTGGTCTGTATGCTTCCTGAACCATGTCCAAGCATTGTCTGGGTAGCGCTGCTGGCGTGGCCACGGAGCACGCAAACTATTAAACAGTATGGGCAATCACAGGACAGTGCTCAAGTCAGGGCCTTGGACCTCTTTAGTTATTGCTGGTATTCTGGGCAGGACTTTGCAGAGTAACTTCTTATGCCAGCCTGAACCAATTCAGGTATTGATCACTTAGCAGCATCACTTAGAGATGTATTTTTCAGGTCCTTGCTATTACAGACAGAGGATGGTAAATATAATTCAAATAAGATATGTCAAACCACCAAAATGTTTAAAATTGGGCAGGGGGGTCTGCATGTGCAAGGTTTGTACCAGTGTGCTGCCAGTGCTTCTGGGACATACTTTGAATGATCACAGTTCTTTGTCTGCCCTTTATATGCTCTGCTACAGCCATGTTTTCTTTTCACACATTTTAAGTTGTCTTTCACTACGTTCTACCCAGTGGACTGTTTCTACTCAATCTTTCTGATCCTTCAAACTGTAGCCATGTCAGAACTTCTGACATTTCTTCTTTTAAAGAAAGGATTTTTTTGGAATAAAGGATTAAAAAGAGACTAAAAACTCTGTCTTAAACACTTATAAAATAATTCGCTATAAAATGTGTATTTGTACACTAATGTTGCATGAGATTAAATTTTTCATTAGCATGAAATTTTTAGGATAGTTCCTACATAGTAGAAAGTGTTTGCTTTCAAAATAGCCTTTGGTAAACCCTTTATTTTTGCACACGGGAGAAAAAGATTAAAGGGAGGAACTTTAATTTGTTCCCTGGGGGTTCAGTAGATTGGCCTTTACATGTAAGGAGAAATAACATTATTCTCTACTGCACATGTGTAGTCTACACATGTGCAGATTATATTAATGTGATAGGATTCTTTTTTTTGAGCTGAGTCTATATTCAGTGAATTCTAGATGTTACGCAAGGTCTGCTTTCTGTAATGACTTGACGAAATTATTTTGCTTCCTGTCCCCCAGCACTTCACGATTTACTAGAGGATATTTTTTTAATGTGTACTATCAAGCTTTACTGACTTCTCAATGAGTCTTAAAGATCTGTGCTTCGCATTGCTCTAAATGTCCAGGGGAGTTACACAATTTCACAGACACAGACATGGATTAGATCTCTCATCTGAAATGACAGATGTACTGTTTCAAAATTTACTGCTGAATTCATCTTGACCTAAAGATGTAGGCGTACAATTTATCTATTTTTTGTATGTTTTCACAGAAAAGTTTGTATTTTGAGAATGTAACAAAGATCTTTCTATATGCCAGTTCGATCAAGTTTGTTTTCATCATAAAGAGACTATAAGACTAAGTAGATCTCTAATGATAAACATCAATATTATCACAGTCTTATCCACTTTACTTTTAGGGTGTGCACCATAAAGCTTTTCTATCAGCAACTGGATCTTAAGCTATTTAAATGGATAGTTCTTTCGTACAACCATCTTACAGACATTATTGTCCTTTTTTTATAATTTTCCATTACATATTATCTTCACCAAGCACTGCGTAAAATAGTCTTATTAAGCTGGAACTGGCAGTTTCCTTTATTTTGTGGCTTTTGTACTGAGAGGTTTTAAGGGCTTTTTGTTCAGATGTCCTGAGAATGTCTGCTGAATTGCCTCATGATCTTCTGGCCAGTTCTTACTTGTGTTTTTAAGCTGATGGCAGAGCTCCCATTGATTTCATTTAGAGCAGTAGGCTTGCCTGCCTTCTTCCTTTCCCTCCGTTCTGCTTTTGGCTTCACTTGTGTTTTTAGTGCAGTTGTGAGAATCTGTTTTCATAACATAAGTTACATTTTATGTCTGTGTGTTGGTAGTTCCCTCCCCTAAATTTCCAATTTGGCATAGCAATGAATAATATAAGTGCAAATTCCTTTGTAAATATTTTGGTATTCTGAGACTTTCTATGACTCCTGTCATGACCTATAAGCTGCTTTGATTTGTCTACCCTGATATTACTGACATGTTCTGTTGCTCACAGGTTAGTGTTAAGATGAGAGTATTACACATGATCTTTAGTAGGAGTGGAAGTTTTTTTTGTCATGTGCATGTATAATAGATTTCTTTCATAAGCAAGTATCAAAAGTTTATTATTAGATAGTTACATTAAATTAGAGTGGGAGTTTTGCAATTATGCAAATTACTTGAAAGGCAGTGGGGTCACTTCCCAGTGGATTTGGAGGTCTTTTGTCAGTATTGTGTAAGTATGGAAGATGATACCAATCCTATTCAGGATGGCTTGACGTATAAATTGAAAAAGAACAACTCATAGTAGAGGGTGAAGAACTGAGCAACAATGCATCCAAGAGACATATGTAGGTTACCTTATTTTTCTTTTCTCCAAAAAAAACCTTCCAACCTAATTTTCTTATTTCTGTGCCTGTGTTAGCCTGTGGCCTCATGACTCGCCTTGCACAAAAAGTCAAGTAAAAATGGGGAGGAAAAAACTTTTTAGTCTGTGGTGCCTGCTGGAGGCCATAAAAAAGCAGATGACAGTATTAAAACTCTCTTATTCCCAGCCCAAGGAACAGAGGCAGATCCAGACTGACAGGGCCTTTCTGTGTTCACCTGATTGTTACCAGCAGCACTTTAAGTATAGAGTATGCTTTGTAGTAAGCACAGATGTTTATTTTCAAATTGAATAATGGCATGTATCTGTAGTAATGTAACGTCACTATAATGAATGTGCTTATGACTAAGCTAGACAGCTGAAAATGGTACCTGTTACTTACTAGAAAACTTGTTTCATAAAGCCTTTACATTTCCTCAAAGATAAAAAGATGTTTTCTCCTTATTGCCAAGCCCTAAATCATCGTTATTATCTGTTAGGGGCCAGGGCGATGTTTTGTTATGGGGGTTACTATTTATATTTAGCCTGTTTTGATTTAAGCAGGGTGTATTTTGTAAAATAGTAAAGGAAAACCCTTCATCAGTTGGTGATAGTTCAAGACTTAATAAAATCCCCCAAGTGGGGGAACACTTCATATTAAAATTCATCCAATGTCTATTAACTAATGTTGGGGTAAGACCATCTCTTCTATGTGATAAAGCATCTTTAAGTTCTGCAGCAATATAAAACAATTCAGATAATCGCAGTAAGGCAGATAAGAAGGGTGAGCAGAAATTTGCAGGGGAAAGCAGCATCTGTTTGGAGTTCCTGAGCTCCACAGGCCTGGAACTACATTTGCATGTAGTTCAGTA